AGAGAAACATGGTCCTTTGGACTCCTGGCTGAGCGGTGGGAGAAGCGCGAAGGACGGAAATGGCAACACTTGGGAATTCGGGCTTCTGAGCACGCCTCGCTTGTGAGTAAAACTCTGAATTTCTGGAGGCGCGGAAAGGGGGTTTGCTGCTTGCTTTCCCTGCTTCATACATCTTAGAGCAGCTCCAGCCTGACTTGTAGATGAAGCATTACCTGAGCATCATAGACTGCCTTTAGGGACCTAAAAGGTAATCTCGTTCCAGCCCCCTGCTGTGGGCAGGGACACCTTCTACTAGACCAGGTTGCTCAGTCCCATCCACCCTCGCGTTGAACACTTCCAGGAACAGGCCATCCACACCACTGTGCACAATCCTTGGGTTCCTCCACCTTTCCCAGCTCAGCCAGGAGTCCAAAGGACCATGTTTCTCTTCACAGTACCGCACAGCGAGGAGGCTTTAGATTTTTTAAGTTAGGTGTTGGCAAATCATTTGATCTTGGTTCCACTGAGCTCCTGATGTGCGTGTGTGAGGGCACAGCTCATCCCCAATTTGCTGGAAATGGATCAGAAGAGCCTTCTGTAACAGCATTGCATCGTTTCTCTGGTGTCTGGCTGAAGCTCCACGTCTGGGCTGGCTTTTCCCATTTGAATTTCCTGTTTGATGTTTACCAGGTGCTCTAAAGCAAAAATAAAGCCATTAGCTGCCTTTGGGAATTCAGTGAACACGGTCAAAGACCAGTCTATGCAGTGGATGCTGCTGCTTGCTGGTTCTCCTTTAATTGCTACTCTCTGGTCATGTTTACGACACTGAAGCACGTTTCAGCCTTTGTAAGTGTTAGACTAACCTGTCAGTGATGTTTTTCAGGTGGATCATCGCATGTTTTCTGGTCCTGATGGTGCAGAGACAGTGACAGGAACGGAGATCTGGTCGAGATAAAGTCTTAAATAATGCAAATGAAGACTCAGAGTAGTGTGTCCATGCTGCTCTTAAAAGCAGGCTCTTGTAATGTAGCTCTGCTTTCTGATGCAAATGCAGGAAGAACCAAAGAAAGCATCGGGGTTTGATGATGTTTCATTTCTTCATAAAAGAGTCAGCAGTCAGTTTGTTGAGAGTGTTGATAAAAGAGACAGACATTTGTGTTTAAAGGACTTGCAAGTCTGGAATCCAGGTAAAACCCAAGTTATTTTTGGTTCTGAGAATGGGCCATAGTCTGTTAATAGTAGAAACACTGTGATCAAACATCTGTGTTCATTTGTATTGTTCATGGCTTCTCTGTCATGGATTTTCTTGGCAGTTTCCTCAGGTGCCAGAATCAGTGCCAGGAGTCTGACTGTTTGGAATGTGCCATAATTGTGGGATTTCAATGCAGATTGTTTCTGTGGATCTTGACTCCCAGGTGTGAAGTTTCCACTTTGCAGTATTCTGAGTATAAATCAGCAGAAAGGAGAGTAGACAAAACCATTTCTCAGTGGAAGAGAGGGATTGCTAAGCCACAGAGTAATTCAGGAGATTGTAGAAGCAAAGTCCTAGTCCAGCTGAAACTTGTGTTTACCTGAAGTCACAATAGCTGAGTTATTTCTCTAGTATTGTCAGTGCCCCTCTTAACCCTGTCTGAATTTATGGGATTGAATTTTCAGATGCCCTTATTTGTTGGTTTGTTTGTTTGTTTGCTGTCACTTCCAAGTCACATAGCAAATTTGAAGGAGCAGTAGATAAGTCCCTGTGGGATACAATTGAAATACTATGGTCTTCTGTAGTCCAGGCATACTTGTAGTCACCTGTAGCAAGATCCATCCCAGGAAAAACTGGTATTTGAAGCTGGGTATATCAGTTGAAATTGGTTTGGTTTTCATTCCTGACCAGCTAAGCAAGTGAGGGCAGTGGTCATCCCCTTACCCAAGAGTCTGAAGAAGCTCAGGAGCCGTGTGTGATCTCATGCTGGTCTTTAAGAAAGGATTTTGAGGTGTGGAGTCAACATTATGCTCCCAATAATGCAGGAGACGTTTGACTATGAGGCAAGTCCTTTTGCAGCAAAGCAGGCAAAATGTGTTGAGACAATCTTGGATTCATGTGACAGCGTGTATGTATTGAAAGATAGCAATGAACAAAGCAGGCTGACCAACAGAACCCACAGGATGCCATTCTGTGTCCTACAAAACTTAAATTTAAGGCTTGCGTTGTAGCTATCTTGACAAATTTTAGCCAACCTGCCTGAAATATGTGGCTATTTGACATATGAGGGAAAGCAGCATAAACCAGTAAAATCTGGCAATAGGCCAGTTAGGGAGAAAGCAGTTTCATTAACACTATCTCAGCATTTGTTTTCCTAGCTGTTTTCTTTTACTCCAAGAAAAGAAGAAAAGCTTAAATTACTAAACTATTTTCTTGGTGCTTGGAACAAAAACTCCTGTAGTGCTTCATTTTTGTACTTTAGCAGTGGCTTTTCCATTCTCCAGGAGTTTGTAGTAAAATGACTTGCAATTTACGTGTTCTTTGTACTACCCACATTAAAGATCTGATGGATGTTGTGTCATGATCTGTGTTTTGACAGCATGTGGTGGTCAAGAAAGTGGGGAAGCTGATCTAGACCCCATGGTTTTGGGGTTTTCTTCCCCACAAAAAAAAAAAGGGCAAATCCTTTTCTGATAATAAGGAAAACCAATACATGGGTAGGATTATTACTGAAAATAGGAAAAAAGTCATCCAGATGCTGTTTATCACTATGTTGAAGAAAAAATTGCTCTTCAATCTCAAATACTTTCTTAGCTTTGGGTAGTAAGGGGAGTGAACTAGTCTAGGAAATGAGTTATTATAAAGAAAAAAATACGGTTTTTAATGGAAGTTTTAAAAATCAAGGCTACATTCTTTGGTTATAGACTTTAATTATTATTGTTCTGTCTTGCTTGAATCATGTAGTCATTTTTGTCTATTGCCCTCTCTGTCCTTGGATAGCATGAGTTTAAAACCTGGATTGTCTTTGAAAGGCTTAATACTGGAATTCATCTGGGAGTTAAGTGGTAATTAATGGTCATAAGAAGTCCACACAGTCATCAGGTAAGCAGTAATATCCATCCCTGTGCAGCAGCATGTCAGCAATTCAGTCCAAACATGGAAAACCATGAGTCTGTGTCATCACTTTAACTGTATTTTAAACTGTTTCATGAGATTCAGAAAGCAGGGCATTTTTGGATGTTCTCTAGATTTGCTGTGTAAGAGAGACCAGGTCTTTGCATGCCAGCATGAACACAGGGACCTCTTTGCTGAAGCTCTACCAGTAGAAGAAATGGCTGTTAGAAGATCTGTATCGTGGGTTTGCAGTATATACATCTATGTCATACTAAATTACAGTTTCTGCTGACTTGGAGAAATAAATATTCTGAAAAATTATACTTGTCCAGGAGGTGGTTCCTTTACACTGCAACTGTTGGTGGTTTTTTTACATATTTTTTTCAACTGTGCCTGTACCTCCCACCTCCAGCACCTTTGGTTGTGTCTTTAGTGTGCATTCCAAATGTGGAAATGCTTTCATTTATGGTAATAGTTGTAGGTGAATGTCTGTCCTCTCCCTAGGAACCAGATGTGGCAGCTTCTGATTTGCCACCTTTCAAAGAAATCACCTGTTTGACAGGACCTTATACTGAACAAGGATCTCTGCTCTTCCAAACAGTGCAGAGAAAGTGAAATTTCTTGCATGTGTTTCCATGCAGGAATTTGAGAAGTTCTTCTCTGTTGAGAAGCTGATGATAAAATACTGTGTATATATTAACTTGTCTTCAGCTTGACAGTTGTAACCTAATAGAAATTGGCAAATGCTGTAAAGAGGAGGAAAAAAAATCCATCTTTTTGTTTCTATGGTGTTTTTATATATATTGACTTAATATTAGTTGCTGGGCTGATATCTTTGTAGCCTGCTTGTTCTCTGGCTTGGAAATGAAAAACAAATCATATTTCTAAACCAGCTCTGAGCAAAATTAGGAGGGTTTTTTGTAAACATTTGAAAAGAGGCAATCCTGATGCTCAGCAAACCTGGTGAATGGATATCTTGTTAACTTCTGTAAATCCTGGGACAGAATCCAATATTATCCAAAATACTTTATTATCTGGTATTTTTGTTTTTCTCCAAGAACAGAGGATGTCACATGCTCTTACTGGATTTAATTTAGTGTTTCATACATAAATCTTTTTGATGAAGTATTTAGGAATTATTTATTTTAAAAGCCTCAGCACAGGTAATGGTAGATACCAAATCATGTAATGGTGCACAGATGAGAGTTTTAAAGGTGCAAACAGCAGAAACAGCTTTGGGACACTGGGTGTGGCAGAGTCAAAGCCTGGCTCAAGAAACTCCATCTTGGCACTTACTAAACACAATAAATGACAGTTCTCCATCCTTGTCCAAGCAGTTCAGGATTCCCTTACAGCAGTGGGTGAGTCAGGGCATTTCAAATGAAATAAAATATCATGCTGGAATCTGAAGACTTAGTTGCTGTATGACAACTCTCTTGTATTTTTGACTGTTCCCAAAATGAGGTGGCATTCCATTAATTTGATGTATTGGACACAATGAGTACGAAATAGACAGGGTTGTACTAAAAGTATGTAAAAGTGATCATCATGTGTGACTGGAAGATAAGCAAAACACCAAACTGAAAGGTACTTTTTTTTGTTTGCTGGTTTTTATTTTCTTAAGCTTGCTATTATCAAGGGGCAGATTATATTTAGATTTTCTCTAGGGGTTTGTGCTCCACTGTGTCTTCTCTATATCAATAAGAACTGGATCAGGCCTCTCACAGAGCAACCACCAGGGTAATGTGAGGAAGACAAGTAATTTCTATCATCAGCTTGACATTCCTAAAATCCTAAGCTAACCCTGCCTGTAAGTTAAATTTTCCTTGCTTCCCCCTTCAGCTCCACTTCAGTTGGGAACCTGTGAAAGAGGAAATCCCTAGGAATGGTTGTCCCTTCTTACAGGTTCTCAAGATTTGGTTTGGTTTCTGTTTGGAAGTTGGCAGTTGTGTATTTGTATAAATACACTCCATGCTACTGAAGTCAGAGTGTGCATTCTTCTCTAATGGTATTTTGGTTTGGGTATTTTTTTTGTCTGTAAATGAGTCCTGTGATGGTTTACTCTTGTGAGGTAAGTTAAAGCAGTGTTTTTCTCCATGGATATGTAATCCCAAACTGAAAGCTGAGTGAGAGGAAGGAAATTTCCATTGGTCTCAATGGGACAAAAGTTTCTTGGGAATTGGGGCCGCAAAAGGAAGGTTCACTGAGCATCTGTAATGTTTTCCAAAGCCTTGATATCCTTGGTTCTTTTCCTGCCACTAGTGGATACACAAAATTTCATTGGCAATTGTGAATTCAAATCTTCACATAACAAAATACTTGTCCAGTGGCTTCTCAGTATCAGTGAGAAGTTCCTCTGACAATCCTTCCTCTCAATCCAAAATACCCACATCCCCTGATGAACTCAGGTGCTTACATGTATCCAGCATGTAAGGCTACTGGAGTCTTGTCTAGAGACCATTAAAATAATGATGCAACTGGCACTGTTTTAAAGACGTAAAGGTTAGAAAGTGCATGGATATGTTTCTTCCCAAGGATAACCTCTATAAAAAAGGACCAGGATACAGTTTGAAGAAATTTTTATTGGTCCTGTTCAGGTTATAGTTGTTTCCTATACAAAAAAGAGGACAAACGTCTGATTTTTAAATACTTCCCTTGTCGATCACGTGATTAGTTTAGGGTTTTTTTAGTAAGTGATTGCTTTTGTTTTTATTACATATTCCTTCAGTGCAGACATATTTCTAATGAGTATTCCCACCATCTCTAGGACCTGAACCTGTAGGTTCTGGAATACCTTCTGAAGAGACTTTCTGCTCAGTAAAGATCAAGTCCCATTTTTAATGGATCTGTCCATATAAGCCTTCAAAATCTATACACTTACCAGAGTTCCTTTATTCAGGAAATCTAGCAAGACACAGGTTTTTATGCAAATTCAGTGTTGTTCCTGGTTTCTCTTACATAAACCCATGCTAAATGAGACATCCTGCACTATTTATGCTTCTGTCTCTCTGAAAACAACTGAATACAATATATATGATTAGTGAAGAACAAAACACCTACTGTTAAGCCTCTTATGAATCAGCTGAATTTTTTCACGTCTGTTTGGGGTTACTAATTTTGCAATGTAGGTGGCTCTTGTCAGCGGTCTGCAAAAAATGCAGTAGGCAGTTGGGGAAATGCAAGTAGGAGGAGCACAGTTTCTGTCTCCCAGGTGGAATGGTTTGGTTCCAAACCCTGCCGTGGGTGGGTGGTTTGGTGCTGTACAAGAAAGGGAGATCCCAACAGCAGCTGGTGGTGCCCAGCAATGGGGCAGGAGGAACAAGCAGAAACTGATGCCCGGAAGTTCCACCTGAACACGAGGAAGAATTTCTTTCCTGTGCAGTGACTGAGCTCTGGACAGACTGTCCAGAGAGGCTGTGGAGTCTCCCTCACTAGAGATATTCCAGAACCCTCTGGACACAATCCTGTGCTGTGTGCTCTGGGATGACCCTGCTTAAGCAGGAAGGTGGGACCAGATGACCCACAGTGGTCCTGTGAACAAAGAGGAGAGGAAAGAGCCAAGTGTAATGAGGTGGGTTTGACCAGTGATTGGACAGAGATCATATCTTTAGCTGAATTCTTTTGAACAGTCACTTATTCCAACTCTTCTTTCTGTCCCTCTCGTGTTTTCCACTAAAGCTGTAGAACATGAATGTTGTATTAAAATGACAAAGTGTCTGACAAAAAGCAGAAATGATCATGTGTTTGGGTTGGTTTGGTTTCTCCCCTCAGTCTTAGCCAAACAAGTGAATGTATCAGCACTTTGTCAAAAATGACACAAATGGGTCACCAAAATGATGGTGCCTCAGAAGGGGTCCTGCAACATCTGTTTGGGAAAGCAGCCCCTGCTTCTCAGAGTCCCCTCCCTGCCACTGTTACCAGCCCTGTGCCATGCCTCAGCAATACTGACTTAACTGTTTGCAAAGCTATATTGGAAACCAAGGCAGTCAGTGAAATAGCCTCAATTAAAAAAAAAACACCAAAACTACCCTCCAGTCACCTCCATAGAAAAAAACCTAACCCAAACAGAAAAAAACCCCAAACCAACCAAATGAAAATCCTCAAAACAAACAAAACCCCAGAAACTTCCACAGGGGAGGTGAAACCCACTTCCAGACAGCTTTTATGGTCATTATTCCTGTGCAATATTGTGTGGCACACTGAAAAATATTTAAGAATAACATCAATTTAATGTGAAATTAAATGCCAGAACGGATGATACAGTGGTTGCATTATTGAGTAGCATACTGAATTCAATTAAATCTTGTCTTGTTAATAAATCTTGCATCACTGCTGACAGCTGCTGTGAAGAATCCTGAGATTGTTTTGTAAGGACATTCAGCCTGTTCCTAGCAGTGCCTGAGGAGCTGGTGGACGGCTGCCCAGCGCAGTAAAGTGATTGCATCTTCTGAGGTTGACTGTAGATTGCTATCACAGTAATATAAACCAAGTTAAAAATTACAAAAACCTGGTACCTCTAAAAGCTTATGAGCCATAGAAATGACCTACTACTAACTCCTTACTACCTCTGAGTAATTGTTAGGCTGTCAGTTAGATTTTAAGTTGGAAGAATTGGACAAATTGCTGTTGGACTTTATCACAATCTCTCTTTTTCTGCTGTTCTGATGCAGCAGCTGTTGCTGGGAATCAAACCCCTGATCCACAGAGAAGGAGGAATAACTCATTTTTCCAGATAACACTTGCTGCATTACCGGCGTACACATTTCTTTCCCAATGGAGCATGGACAAAAAAGAGCAAGTTCTACACAGTTGGCAAGGCTAAAAAAAGAAACATAATCTACAACTGATGAAACTGGTAGATTAGATAGGAAAATAGTTCACACTCTTTCATTCTGAAGAAAACTCTTACCAATTTTTTTTTGTCTGATTACTGTTCTTATGCTTTTCTTTTTCATGTCACTGTTTACAGAAACTTTTAGGAAAGGATTTGTGTCTTTTATATTAATTCTTAGGTTTAGAACTATAAAGATTATCTTCCTGAACTAGCCATTCCACTTAAGCCCAGCTTTGAAATATTTCCATTATGCTTACAGAGAAGTTTAGGAATTATAGATGTCCATTCAGAAAAGTGTTTAAAGTAATGCTAAATAAATAATAAAGACCATGAGAGTTAAAGATTTAATTTTAAACTTTTAACTACTATCTCCTTGCGTTGTAGCCTTAATATGTGCACTGTGATTCCTCCTCTACATTAACATTCAGAAAGTTTTTCCCCATGAACATGTAATTGTTTGTATTAGAAGCTTAACTGCTGTACTCAAAATTAGAATCATGCCTGTGGGTATTTAAAATGGAAGAATAATACCAGCTAATGACTTCAGAGTAACTAGTAAAATTACATCAGGGAGAGTACTTCAGATTTTGCAGATTGGCCAAATTTATATTGATGAGAAATACATAAGATTTAGCTCAGTAGAATTTAATGAAACCAAGCATATATTGAGGAAAGGGAAGTGTGCAGGCTTATTTTTTGTGGAAATCCGTTAACTGTTTGTTTCAATGATAAACGAAGTTCTGCTTTATGGAAATTTCTGGTTATTTTTCTAAAATGTTACACCTTTTGATGTAAACAGTTCTGTGGTCTTGCAGATAGGTTTCTTTAGTAAATTAAATTTATTGGAAGTTGTTTATTTACAATAATAAATGTATTTCTTCACCAGGAGTCCACGAAGGCATATTCCTGTGCAGAAAAAGTTGGTTTGAAATACAAAGGAAACCAGAAGAGTTGCAGTTCAGAGTTGCAGGTGTTTTCTAGAAAATCACTCCATCACTTTTCTGGCTGTTTTCACCTTTGTAACATCTTCTTGTGTTCAAAGATAACACACACCTCCTCTGAAGAATTACCTTGGGCTGGGTCGGTGGGCTCCAGCACTCAGGTCATTTACATCATCTGGCTTGCCATGTGAGCTATGATTGGTAGCACAGGTTCTAATTCCTCCACAAAGTACAACTGCTTCTCACTTCTGTCCTCAGCATTTGGTGTAACTTCATCCTCCAGTTTCAGCAGGGTTTTGCTTTATCTAAAATGGTGTATGCTATAAATAACTTCTTGCTGTGGAAGGTAAAAGAGAAAGCAGTTTGTATCTTTATATTAATTGCAAAGAGCTAAGAGGTTCAAGATGAAAATAGGACCCGTATTTTGGACTTTGTAGTGAAGATACTGAATCTGAAAGTATTTGCATGAAATTAGTTAATAAATTGTTACTTATTTATAAAAGTTGTTGGAGAAATTCTGGTAAAATACTGGACACTTCAAGAAAAATGTTACAAAAAAAGGGAAATGCAAATTCAAATACACCCATGCTTTAATGAACCAGATAAATCTTTCAGGCAATCAGTGGATGCATGAGCAATAAAGTAGAATGCTATAAATCTCATTTTTAAAGTCAGGCAGTTTATTCAGTGATTGAATCAAATTAAGAGCATGTGTGTGATGTTCTACTAGCACAGAAATGCTATAGGGAATGAACAAAAAGGTAAGCCTAATAATGTTATCCATAGAACATCTGAAAGAAAGCAGAACAGAACAACATGTTTTAACCAAACAGCTCACAAAACAGGCCTCTGATGTATCAAAGCCAATTAGGACAGAATCCAACAATTACAAAAGATATTTAGTCATAAAGAGATACCCAGCAATGTTTTGTCTTATCTCTGAAGCAGATCATTAAAGGCTTCCTGTCATATTTCTTCATGACTTCTTTGCAGGAAAGTCTATTTCCCTCTCCTCAGGAGGAGAACGGGACCTACGAGAGCTCCTCGCTTGGCCCCCTCCCAGCCACCCCCTGGGCTGCGATCCAGGCAGGGAACAACACCCAACCTGCACCAGCAGAGCTCTGATTGCTGCCTTTCCTCATTGTCCTCATCACACTGCTCAGCGTGGGCTCCAACTTCTGTTCCCAACCCATCTGTGGCACACGTGCAGAGAAGCTTCTGGATGTATGAGGGAGCCATTGCAGCTCAAAGCTGAGCTGGGAGTTTTGCCACTGTGGCAAGTTTGGGTGCTGCTGGCCTGGCACAGCCTCAAATTCCTGAGGAAAGGAGGAATTGCCTGTAACTGTTAATGGAAGTTAATGTAGGGAGAAGCAGGGTGGGCACCATGTGAGAAGTTTCTCTTCCTGCCAAGACCAGCTTTTGCTTTCATATGATTTTGTATGTGATAGTCCAGGCCACAATCCTTGGACAAAGCAACAGCAGCTCTTTTTACATTTGAAGAAAGTCTGGATGGAATAGACCTCCAGCAGGTTACTGGGGAGACTTTCATTCCTGCATATATGAGAAATGGGGGTGGAATAGAGGTAGTTAGTCAGTCTGCATCCCAGACTGATGCCTAAAGATTCCATGGTTTATTTTTGCTTAGCAATATTTTAAAAACAACTTTTCAGATTAATGTATTTACATGCTCTCAATTGGCTCTTGTTTTTTTTTTGTCCTTTCTTGGTCTTCCACAGCTTTGTAATGGAAACCACTGCACAGTTCTCTACTCAGCCCTTGGGTTTCTATCTCAAGTGTATCACTCTTTCAGGGGAAAATGTGTGTGCCCCACAAGTATGTTTTTCCAGGCTTCCTCCTTGTCACTGTAAAATTGATGTAAAGCATGTCCTGCTGTTTGTCTAAGCAGGGAGAGAAATTGTGTCATCCTTCAGCGCAGACACTTCATTGCCACTTGACCTGTGTACAGTCCACTGTTAAGTCCTATCCATAGGTGATCTGACTTTTTAATGGGAAGTATATTGGTTTAGAAAAAGGCAGATAGTGTCAGTGTTTCTCACGCAGGTTTTTGCCTTCACTTTATTTGAAGTTACTTTCAGTAACAAAACAACTGAATATAATATGGAAAAATCAGTTTATTTTCTGAAATTAAGTGAACTTCATCCAAGCTCAAAATCCTACAGTCACTTTTAGCATTTGCAAGTACACGCTGAATAAAAATATTTTGACATCTAGACTGTCAGATAATCTGTCAGTAACAGTTACATCATTCAATGAGAGAACTGTTAATTACCAGAGTAATTTATTGGGGAAACAATGCATTTACTGCAATTAAATACACTACTGGATGCTAGAAATGCTACATAACATTTTTGCAAAGTAGTTGGCTTCAGAATGCAGAATATTCTCTTGTGACAAAAACACAGGAAGAGATCCTTGCCAGCAAACATCAGTGAAGAGAATGTACCTGCAGAGAGCAGAGTGGTCACAGACCTCCAGGATGCTTTAGGATCCACATGCAGAAGTATCTAATGCATGGGACAAAGAGGAGGAGTGCTCAGGGTCGTACTCCTTACAGGACAGGCTCGTGGGGTACAAGGGTTCATACACCAAATGCTTTACTTGGAGTGATTTTTAAAAGCTGGAGAAGTTCTCAGCGCTGTGGTGCCGTGCCCAGAACAAGGCACGGTCTCTGGGCAGAGGCATTGGCTGGCACAATGCAATCATGGCTCTGCAGAGTTCCACAGTGGTTGGGTTTACATCCTCCAGTTCTGCTTCACTGACATTTCTCAGTTGCCTTTGTTCAGAAGTTGTGTTGTTGCTGTAGGGAAATGTCAGAGCATTAAGTGTAATGATGGTGCTGGTCATTCCTAGAGTGCCCAGAGGACTGAATTCCAGGTTTTGTGTAGTGCTCTTGGATGGAGTCACTTTGAGGCTACAGAGTGTGTGTGCCTTTCATCTGGCATAATTTGTGTCTCATATTGACTTACACATAAAATTTAAGTTATGATTGTGGCTTCTTGGAAAGAAATCAAGGGATTTTTCGTGCATTATATTGTGTAATTAACAAATAGTAAATTGTTACCCTGCTTGCTGCTGTTGTTGGCAGTGATGACAGTAAAAGTCAGTATTTTTCAGGAATAAGCAAGACCAGGTAATGGAGGAAAATCAGCAACTTTAAAGATTATTTAGCCCTTAAAGAAAGTGTTTGCAGCAAGGGCAATCTCAGCTGTCAAGGTCATCTTAACCCTGCCCAGTCTTATTAGCCCACCAAGTCTCATTGGAACTTTCCTTGATGGTTGATGCCGCTCACGGTGCTCCGAGAGCGGCTTCTTCCAGAGGCTTTTTTCCCATGCTCTCCGTGATGCAGGAGATGTTCTCCCTTTTCAGACAGACTAAGCCATGACATCCAGGGAATGAAATTAATTCTGGGCTTCATGTGTTCTGAGTCACTTTTAGAAATTACAAAATAAAATGTTTAAGACACCATTTTAGTTTGTTACACTTCACCTTGTTTTGGTTTGATCTATATCAACCTTTTATTACACTGTCATTTTTATTTGAAAGACAACAAATTATTGTGGAACTTCCTTCTTTTATCATTTTCATTTATCTTCAGTGAAACTAAAAAATCACAAACTCTTGCCATATTAATCTTTATTTACCTTTCTTATTTGTTTTTCTGTGTTCTTTTTTCTGAAGCAAAACAGAAGAGGGGGAAAGAGGAGGCTGAGAGTAAAAGAAGGAAAGAAAACCAAAACCAAGGAGGAAGAAAAAGGTTTTGATCCTTTTTCATCAGAACTTTTAACTGGAGAAGATATCCTATTTAAAGGGTTTACAGTTATCCCATACAGAATAACAGCAGTTTTGTCTTTTTAAAAAAATTCTCTACCATTTCTAATGTAAATTAGCACAGCTCCACCCTGGTCAGTTGAGGACAAAGCTACACAAACTTTAGCCATTGTATTAACCTGTACTTAATATGTTTTAAAATACTTCATCCAAGATACGGTGTCTGAGTTAGGGATTGAAGGGCTGTAGCCTTTAGCCTTCCCCTCTGTCTCCTCACTGTCACATTTTGTTCACAGTCTTACTGCCTCAGGCTTGGATTATCAGCCTTCTTTTGTCAATAAAACATCCAGCCTATTAGAACCTTTTGTATAAAATATAATCATAAGAAATTTGAGTCCAATTCAGCTAAAAAAAATACAATATTTTTGCAAAATAATAGCCATTTTTAAAAAGAAGCAGTTTAAGCTTTTAGAAGTGCATTCTGGATGTTGTTGTGATTTATGTGCTGTCAATTATTTTTGTATGTATTGAAAAAACCTGTCAAGTTTCCATCTCACATTTCATAAATAAGGTTTTTCTGTATACAAAGCACGTGTCAGAAATCAGTATCTAAACGAGATGCCAGTTGGCTTCTCCATGTGGCAGCTTGTAAACAGAAATATTTGGGGACTGCGCATTTATGACATGCCATGTAATGTCATGTATAAACAGCAGTTACTGGAAAATACTCTGTTCCTCTACACTGCTAATAAGATGATAAATCATGCTTGCACTGCTGTATCACAGTTCAGCAGGTAGACCCTCCCAAATTCAGGTGGTGGTGGTATTGTTTCAAATAAGAGTACTGAGAGATTAAATATTTTACCAATGACCTACCTGTGCATCAGAGTGATATGTCAAAACTGACGTGATGTTCTGTACATTTGTCTTTAAATTATTTGGATGAATTTTTTTTCCCCTTTGTTTTGGTCAGAGACAAATTCTGGTTGTACTGAAATAAGTGAAGCACTTTCATTTAATGTCAGAGGGACCAGGAATCTGCTGTCAGAGGACAGGGGAAGGCTGCTCAGGGTGATGTAAAACCTAGCCCTTGCCAAAAGGGGAACCCTGGTGTTGCTTCCACCCATGGCTGTATTTCTGGCTGCATCTTTCATGCAGGTTTAGTGATGCAGGTCTGCGGCCTCCAGCACAAGAAAGACACGGACCTGTTGGAATGAGTGCAGAGGAGGGTCATGAAGCTGGTCAGGGAGCTGGAGCACCTCTGCTATGAAAGGGGCTGAGAGAGCAGGGGCTGTTCAGCCTGGAGAAGGCCCCAGAGGGACCTTAGAGACCTTCCAGTGCCTAAAGAGAGCCTACAAGAGATCTGGAGAGGGGCTTTTAGAAGGGCCTGGAGTGACAGGACAGGCAGGAATGCTTTCAAACTGAAAAGTAGCAGATTTAGGAAGAAATTCTTTACTGTGAGGACAGTGAGGCACTGGCACAGGGGAGCTGTGGCTGCCCCATCCATGGAAATGTTCAAGACCAGGTTGGATGGAGCTGTGAGCAGCCTGGGATAGTGGAAGGTGTCCTTGCTCGTGGCAGTGCTTTGGAACTGGATGGTCTTTAAGGTCCTTTCCAACCCAAACCACTCTATGCTTCTATGACCACGGGGCTGTGCAGAAAGCAAGAGCAGTTTGCAGATCCACCTGAGGAATATCACAGGAAAGAAGCAATCATTGCAATAATTAGTAGGGCAAACAGTGTCAGCTGCTGTTCACAAAGTGCCGGCTCCAAGGTGTGAATCTGCATCCATGGGATTTAAATTCAATACAATGAGAGCACAAAAGGCACCACTGCTTTTATTACACGAAAACCAAAACAAACAGGCCAAGTCTTGTGGAGAAAAGGCATATTATTACATCTTCCCAATAGAAATGTAGTTGGATAAGGCTACAAATTGTGTTCAAAGCATAAAAGTTTGAGCTGGATTAGGAGGAAGTCTAGGATTAGGATGAACTTGAAGTAGTTCCTACCTGGCTGGCTGCTGCTTAGATGAGCAATGGCAGTGCAGAAGGTTTCAGGCAGGGCTGGGGATCATCAACAGGCCCAACATATCAGTGCAGGACTTGAAAGTACCCAAAACCCCCAAGGGTTTTTATTGTTACTTATTCAACAATGCAGATTCTTTTAACATTTTATCCATGTTTTGATTGTTGTCAAGCCTGGAAATAAACATTAGCAGGAGCCACTATGAAACGATTTGTTGTTCTTCTGCTACTATGTCTAGTAAAATAGCCTGGTCTTTCTGTTATTGTGTCTTGCTATTTTTTTGTGCCACATCCAAATTTGCGAAAACAAATACCCAGCAATAAAAAAATAATTAATGAACTGTGCAAAGGTAAGTAGCTTCCTACTATTGTGAGCAGGGGGTGAAAATGCTGGTTTTATCCCCATAAATTAAAGAAAACACACAAATACATGAACCTTATCTCCTTAATTTGTTTTCACAGGTTTCAAAATCTCACTGTTACTTTCAGCCAAACATAAATTAATAATGGTTCTAAATGCCTGTAGATTATTTAATTAAAACAGAGTGATTTCATTCTCCATTCTCAGCTAAGTAATACAAAACAGACTTTGTAAGGTGAAGGCCAGAATTGGAGTTCTGACTCTGAAATTACTTTATCTTAAGAATTTTAATAAATTCTTTATTGTTTCCTTCCTATTATATTAACACACTCTGTGGTATTTTCTCTTTATAGTACATGTCTGTAATTCCAAATCATATTTCCATCCAAGGCTTGTGGAGGAGTTTTGGCAGTTGAAATGTTCTTTTGCTGCTTTATTAAGTTTGACTGTCTGCCTGCAGACTTTCTGTGGACTTCTGTATTTCAGACTTATTTAATTGATAAATATTTTTGCATAGTTTGTATTCCCAGCCATGCCTAGCTACTTCCTACCCTTTGCCCAGCAACTTCTGTAATTATTTCAAAAGGAGGAAACTGGTAAATCATTTAGGAAATAAGGAAGGAAGCTGATAATTATCATGAATTACCAGAATTAACATGAATTCTGGCATGCAAACTCCAGAGGAATGCAATAATGCAAATGCAGACTGAAAACAAGAAATTGCAGCACTCCTGGCCAGGTGTGACTGGGTCCTGCTAAGGTGGTGTGATCAAGGACAGAGCTGCTCCAGGGGAGGGACAAGCCTGGATGACAGAAACTCTGGATGAAACCTGGATGAAACCTGGAAGCAGCATCAGACAAGTGTGTACAAAAAAAACCCAAAACAATGAGCAGCAGAGAAGACCCACAAGACCAGCCTCGTATTGCTTTGTTTTCACTTATGTGATCACATTTGAAATACCAATTTTAGTTTCATCTCATTAGCAGAAAAATAACTAGAGGATTTACAAAAGATCAGAAAACGGGTAGGGAGGTTAAAAGTCATGATTTAATCAGAAAGATGTTTGAGAAAAACACCCAAACATGAAATTGTTACTGATTATCCTAATTAGGAATCTCTGGAGGAGTGGCATGGAGTTAGTAAACTCCCTAAGGTTTGGATCCCAAGGTTTGACATTATGTGTTTACAGTTTTAGGGACTAAGATTGTGAGCAAAAGAAGGGAATATTGATCATGTTTATTGTACTTCCTGGTTATCCCATTCCCAAAATTTGCCACATGCTTCTGTGTACTTCTAAAACAGGTTTAAACATTCCTGGTGTACAATTGAAATACATAAGCTAAGCAAGCCTTACTGCATCAGGAAGGGATCTAGAGGGCAACTCATTAAATAAAATGAAAGGATATAAATGAAATTTTAAAATAGAAGATTCAGGCTAATTATTAGCAAACATTTAGTTACTGATATCTACATGGCAGCATAAAGCATTCCTTTGAACATTTAAACTAGATACGAAGAGACATGGAAAAATCAGTGATTAATTTTGCATTGGTTGGATGTATTAGGATGACTAATAAAATAAGGCTTTAATATCTAAAATCTGTACTTCATCCTTCTGAAGCTGCTTATACAGGCATGCAAGGGATAGAGGAATTTGACCCTGTAATTGGTAAAATCCAATGACTTCAATTTGTCAAGATAACCCCAAAGCACTCTCTGTTGCATGAGAATGAAGACTATAAATAAGTAATGTATTTATTTTTAAATAAATGGGAATGAGTAAATTTTCCCATATACCTACATGCTTACAAATCATTGTGATTTACTGTGTCAGTCTCTTTTTCCAGTTCTGCCATCTATTTCAGTTCACTTTAAAGGCTGTACATATGGGGAGATTGACTACAAGATTTTCAATCTCTGGAAATCCAAATCTGCCAGAAAAAAACGTCTGGAGTCCGAGCTTACCCTTTTATCTCTGGGAGGAAGTGGCAGCACTTTTAATCAGTCATTGTTCCCAAGCAGAGGTGCATTCTGTTTGTTACCCCAGGGCCTGTGGGATACAGCCCTGCCTGTGTTAAAGATGTGCTGAGGATTAACTGGAAGGAAGGCAGATAACAGGGCTCAGCAGTAACGTTTGCTGCTTTGGATGCTGCGGAGGTGGTAGCTCACTTGGAGCGGGTGTAAGAAGCACCCAAGGAGGACATCAGTCCATGCTCCTGCTGAGCAGAGTGCTGGGAGTGACCAGGGACACCAGAGCAGAACTTCTGCCAGGTGTGCCCACGTGGCCAAGGGCACCTGGCCTGTGTCACCAACAGTGTGGCCAGCAGGACCAGGGCAGTGATTGCCCCCTGCACTGAGCACTGGTGAGGCCACACCTCAAGTGCTGTGTCCAGTTCTGGGCCCCACAATTCAGGAAGGACACTGAGGTGCTGGAGCATGTCCAGAGAATGGGACTAGAGCTGGAAAAAAGATAAAAGGAGGCTCAGGAGGGTCCTTATCCCTCTCTACAACTCCCTGAAAGGAGGGTGTAGCCAGGTAGGGCTTGGTCCCTTCTCCCACGCAAACAGCAACAGGATGAAAGGACACAGTCTGAAGTTGTGCCAGGGGAGGTTTAGGTTGGACATTAGGAAGAATTTCTTCCCAGAAAGGCTGATTAGACATTGGAGTGGGCTGCTCAGGGAGGAGGTGGAGTCACTGTCCCTGGAGGTGTTCAAGGAAAGGCTGGATGTGGCACTCAGTGTCCTGGTCTGGGTGACACAGTGGTGATCGGTCACAGGTTGGACCTGATGATCTCAGAGGTCTTTTCCAACCTAATTGATTCTGTGATTCTGATTCAGCTTTACAGAGTGTTTTCTATAAAAAGCTCCTTTTGATGTCTTAGTTTCATTCTGCTCATTTTTCATATCAAAGCCAAAACTTTCCCGGCAACTCTTTCATTTCACATCAGTTTGCAGCACAGTGAATTAACTCTTCCAAACCAGGAGTCGATAACATCTTGCTTCAGGAGGTGCCTAATCACTGTGATGAATTATCCTAAAAAAATGAGAGACCTTTACAGATGACATTTTCATTTGCAGTGAGTTGAAGATGGATATAACAAACAGCTGCTTTCCACAACAGCCAGGATTTGTCATCTTACTCTTACATCAAGCATAAAGTAGTTATTTTATATAGGGAATTATGAAAGAGACAAGTAATTCTGGATTATTGATCGATTTGTCTGCTGGGAGGTTATGAGTGAAAAATCTTTTGCTCTGTTGTTTTTAATTCAGATGTCATTAGTATAGAGCTTGCTCTAGGATCACTATGAAAGAAATTGATATAATGCCCAGAGTGCTGCAATATATGTTTCTTTCCCAAGTAAAAATATATGGAAGTTAACAAAAAACCCCCAAAACCAAAACAACAACAGCAAAAGGGGTTTGGTAGCTTAGAAACCAGAATGCTTTACAGTTGCAAGATCAATCAAATCCTGGCCTAAGACACTGAAGAATTGTACTTAATACCTTAGACATAAACAGCCTAACTACAGTGTAAATATTATTACCTCTGCCTTCCAAAGGATCTATTTGCACTTATTTTCTTTGACTATCATCATGAAAAAGTTCAGTTTTATGTGTAGTATAAATATACTTTTTCTGATTTCATAGTAGTTGCCTGTGGCCATTTAATATTTTGCTGTGATTGAGACCTTTCCTCATTTACACTTCCAAAGTCCTATTGACTCAATGTAACAGTAGCTTGTTGTGTAACTGTGAAAATTAGCACAGGGTCTGATGCTGTAAATAGCATTTGCACTAAAAAGTGGAACATGACTTGCTTTATTTATACCCAAGTAATCGAGAGTGCTTTGTAGTAATTTCTATGTATGTTTTTCTATATTTAGAAAACAACTCCATGTCTCTTATAACAATAAGCAAGAAACTGCAGAAATCTTCCAGCTCAGAGCAGGTGCTTGCAGGTTTTTGCCTCTCTGCTGATTTACATGGTGCCAGTGTGCTCAGTGGCCGAGTCCCCTTCCAGCACCCACCATCCCGAGGTGCCCAGCTGAAGCCCTGCATGCTCCTGCCTCCCTGCATCACATCACGCTCCCATTCCATCCCCCTTCTGCTCCTCTGCTGGACTCTGCTGCCTGCTTTAATCGTTTTCATCTGAAGAGCAGAAACATTTTGGCTTTCTAATTTTATTACTTTCTTAAATAATTCCTTCTGTTCCTCTTTATGGTTGAGTTGTTCTAAATGTCCATTTGAACCCAGACTAGAAGACGTTTTGGCCTGGTCGGAGGAGGTGGACGTAGGGTCAAGTCCAAAGGAGCATTCCCATTCATTCTTTCAGTATTGTTATTGCTTGAGGAACTTTAACCACAGCCAAGTGCTAGACACAGGCACTGTCCAGGAATCTCAGTGTGAGTAAAGAATTTAAGGAAGCTCTATGAAATGTTATTCTGATTCTTCTAATGTCAGCATAAACTACTCTGCAGAAGTGAAAATGGTGATATTATGTGTAGTTTGCACAAGGAGGCCCCTTAGTGAACACAGCTACTCAGAGAGGACTGAGGCTGCTCTATGTGTAAGGTAAGGCACCAGAGAATTTTTTTATGGACTTAGCTGGAAAGAAATAAAAATACATATATAATTATTTCTTTATTCAACAGGAGATGCAATTTATTTTGTAAACAGAAAGCAGCTGTTTGCAGCACTAGACCCTGAACTAGAAACCCTGTTTGTTAACTAAGAGTGTTTAATAAATTCACAATGTGAGTGCTAATGAAGGAGTTGATTTTAATACATATCATATTTCACTGTAGAAACC